ACTAGAGCATGGAGTCACCAGAGCAGGTTGCCACTAGAGGATTGTACCACCAGAGCTTGGTGCCACCAGAGCGGTGTGTTAACAGAAACAGATTGCTACCAAAGCAGGTTGTAAACATATCAGTGTCATCAGATAAGGTTGCGACTAGTGCCTAGTTTCACCAGAGCACGATTTCACCAAATCAATATATCACCAGAACAGGAAGCTTCGGAGGTCGATAGGTAAGTCTGCAAAGTGTGCTACAAAGCCTACTGACGCCACAGACTATTAACTACGAAAAAAATGAATGAACTCTAAAGTAAGACGTGTTATGTCACGTTTCCCCCATGCTGCCAATATAGCAGACAATGCGTTCTTATTGGGCCTGACCTATTTCCTTTCATCATAGCCGTTATTTTCCACAACTATCAACTAAAAATAACTAATATATTCTAATAGAATTTTGGGGAAACTTAGATAATTTACTAGAAAGATAAACAATTAATTAGAAGACAGTTCTAGAAGCGTTCATCATTGTACCTATTTTCGGCACATTGTACTAACTGTAGGCCTATACCAATACAAGTTTTCTCATACTCTGTAAGTTAATGATTTCTAATTATATTTCTTTTGTCTTGTAATTGTACTAATACTTAAATAAATCTTTTTAATTGTAATTAGTACTGTTTTAAGTGCCGTACTTTTGCTATTGGATTTCTATATGGTATCGTCCTTTGTTAGGCACTGTTTGAACGAGCCATACAATTGAAATAAGAGATGAATTTCTCACGATAGAAGGCAGTGCTTAACAGCTAAACGAATAACCGTCCCTAGCAGGGAAGCTAATACATTCCCCCTGGCATTAAAATGCCTAAACTTAAAAGTGTACCTACCTGGAAGAAATACAATAGCACTGAGAGCTCCTTTATGACACTGCATTCGCTTCTATGCCCCCGCGAAAGTCATAGAGTGTAATGATTCACTATATTTATATATAAATATATCTATGTCTATATATATCTATGTCTATATATATATATATATATATATATATATATATAT